GCGCATAAGGTGAGAGCTGACAAGGGGGTGACCCCACAAAACCTCATCTCCTCGTCCTCACCAGATGAGGCTGTGATGCCACCCCCACCTCCTCCGGCTGATGACTTTAAACAATTTCAGAAGCTTACGAAATGGATTTCACATTGGCTAAGTACATGGCTCATGGCAGAAACATCTTTGTAAGGACCTGCTGTGCTAAGGGATCTGTTGTTAATAGTTTGTTAAAGTTGCACCCGGACCTGCAACCAGGATTGGGATCCCGTTGTGCTAGGCTCTGCACATATTCATACAGACCCTGCCCAAAAGTGCTTTCATGAGTGCTAGACCAGATGGAAGAGTGGGGAAGGGAAACTGAGGCACAGAGATGGAAGAGTGGGGAAGGGAAACTGAGGCACGGAGCAATCATGTGACTTGCCCAAGGTCACACAGCAAGCTAGTGGCAGAGCTGGGAATAGAAGCCCAGTATCCTATCTCCTGGATTGTACGGCCTCTAATGGATACTTAAAAAACCCACTACTGGAGAAGACTTTGTTAGCTATGCTACGGCTGACTGTCTGGCGTGGGACAACGAGGTGGCTGGTTTTGAGCTCATTTCTGCACTGACGTGAATCCCTCTGCCAGTCCCATTGACTGCAGAATTTGGCCTATTGTGCACACACCTACACTAGGGGAGCATAGATGCTGCTGTTTCACATGGACACGTCATGGCGAGGCCGCTATTCAGAGACCCGCCGAATTCCCGAGAGGTTTTTCCAGTTTCTCCAGCACACGTACGAATGTATTACTACCAAATAAATAATTAATGCTGCTGTAAATCTTTTATGCTCGCTCCAGTTTACCTAGGAGTGTCTGTGGGAGAGTGTTTAAAGCTGCTCTGTGTTTTTCTGCCGCTGTTCATTAAATGCGTAGGGAGTGTTCTCGCTTGTAATAAAGTCATCTGGCTGGGAATGAGGCCGGGAGTGGTGTCCTTGCCAAGCCAGGCTCCTGAGTTCTCTTGAAGCCAAGACAAAAGAGTTGACAGGACTGCTGGAAAAGGTTCCTTCCATCTCACCAGTCATGATGCAGGCAGGCGGATAGTGAGTTTTGGTGCGGGTTAGGGTGGTGTGGGTGGAGGGAGGGACACTTTAAAAATATTAACATGTTCAGCTGGAGTTTCCCTGTTTACCTTGTCAGGGACTGAGTGTAGATGAGCTTGAGAGCGGGGAGGGTCTGGAGAAGTGGGAGAAATGGAGGGTTAAAACAGGCAGCACAAGGGCAGGTTGGTTGGTTGGGTCTGTGCCCCGTTTCCCTCGTGTGTTCTAAGCCCCTTAATGGCCACTTCATGTTTTAATAATGACACAGGTCTCTAACCCTCTTGTATGCGCGTCACAATAAAGCTTTCTCTGGCAGCGGGATAGTTGTCTTTAGTGATAAAGGGGTTCTACTGTATTCCAACTGCAGCTGTAATTACCTTCATTGTAGCAGCATCTTAGACATGCTGTTGTTTTCTAAAGGTGGAATTGTGGTGTGGGTGTGGCTTTATTTACACCTGTAGGGAGGTACACACCCACCTTCAGGTTGTAGTTTGCCCTCAATAGAATCTGAGGTTTGGTGCTGAAAGGAACACCTGTCCTTGGTGATCTCGTAGCTGTAGGTGGACAAACATCACTATTTTTGTAGGAAAAAGGGTCTTTCCAAAGACAGGCTGGTGAGCTTGTGCTGTCGAGTCAAGGGATGCCTTTCAGAAGCCAGCTTTCAGTTTTCACCTGATCAACAATTTATTTTGGGATAAAAATGTGTTGTTTCCTAAATATACACTCAGGGAAGAGGGGTGTGACCTGTAACGTAGAGCTTTGGAATAGAAGGCTTGAAAAATACCATGCTGCTCAGCAATAAGATATTTTAAAAAACTATCGGGAAGTCTCTTGAAAATCAAATCGAAGGGAAGCTGTGATACTTTGCATGTATCTCTCGGTAACCAAATTAATTGTTCCCCAGGCTACTGAGTCGCAACTCATAAGTGATAAAACAAGAATCTTGGCTCTGAATAAACAGAGAATGAAATTTGAATTAAACATGGTCAATTCAGGTAATGTGCTACATTAAATAGTTTTCAAGTTAATCTTGCCGCTGTATTATAGTCTTAAAAAAAAAGGTAGCAAACTTGTGCATTTTCATCATAGACTTTTAACACTAGGTATTTTTGACCAGTTTAGCACTTCTGTTAGCTCTAGTAGAACAACTTCCTGGTTTTCCAAAGTAATAAGAGACCATTACAATTAGGCAGAACATTAATCTACTGTGTGTCTTCAACTTGACAAATAGGCAAACACTGCACAGGGCATGGCCAGCATTCCAGCCTTTATTATCTATTTGGGTTTGTTTGCTTTATCACAGTTGTAACACTACTTAAACATACTTTGTACAATGTGTATTAATAATTTGACATAGAGACGTCCCAACGTAGGGTCTCGACACCAGAGAGGGAGCTCAGACAGGGCGGTTCCCATTTTACACAGAGCTGAAGAGGCTTTCCCAAGTTCACATGGGAAGGCTATGGAAGAAAAGAGCTTAGGTTAAGATCTGTTTTTTACCCAAAAGCCCTTTGACAGAGCCAAGCAGGAAGTGCATCAGACTTGCCTGCAAGATCTCATGGGGCTGGTAGAGTTGCTTTACTTAATTTGTTCCTCTCCGATGGATGCCAGTGGTCACGGTGAACAGTTGCTCCATGTCCACAGGTCATGTCTATATGAGTCCTGCGGGGCCTGCTGCCGTAAGAGCGGGAGCAGGATTAACGAACAGTCCCTTGCAGGGCTCTACTCTAGAGTATGTGCAGAAGGATCTCTAGGAAGTCGGTCTAGGAGAAGGTTTGGTGGTGCGGGAACTCACCTAGTCTATCTAACGGCTCTCGGGTGAAATGAGTGGTCACCTTTTTCTGTCTGTAATGAGAAAATATTTTGATTGCATGTTTTCATCCACTTACGTGGTCAGACATTTGCTATTTATCAATCAATGTCTGTCGTTCTGGTAGCATAAGGCACGATAAAAATCTAGAGGCGAAGAAAAGGAACAAATATTCTGATGAATTTTAGGTTTGATCGAAGGGATGCACTTATCTAATAGAGCAGTTCTGAAATAAAGATGTTGCCAATGTTAGGTTTCATCTGCTGCTGTTCTGCTGGCTGGTCAATTGCCCTGCAGAATATCACTCAGGTGTTCCAGGTTCCTTACAGAGAGGCTGATCAGGTTTTCCCCTCTTTGCTGGGTTAGTTCTCTTCTGTTCATTTGTCCCTTTGCAGCAGTTATTCTTGTAAGTTATTGATTTTTGACTAACAGGTTTTTTTTTTTATACATGATGGAAACTAAACTGTGTTGGAACACCTGGTTGGTGAGGTTCTCCAAAGTATCCCCCCACCCACCATTCAGGTTTCATTTGAAGCATGAAATCTGGGTAAATAGAATTGTTTGGTTTCACTTCTGTTCAAGACAGAATTCCTGACTCCTGGCTCGCTGAAAGGTTTGCACAGGATACACTATTCTGACAATCTAAATGAGCATTCTCAGAAAGAACGAAACAATTTAGTGTCTGAAATTGGCTGTGCATTTCACACGCATGCACCAGTGTTGCCTTGACCACATTCAGATGCCTTTTTAGAAGGAATATAGCCATTAAAGAAGTTTGTTTCACAGTCCAGGTTATGGTTTGGTGGCAACTGTGACTGTGTTAAAGGTGCAGTAAGATTAAAGTCTTATAGTTCTGGTCTTGAATATTTCTTCAAAAAGGTACTTGGCATTATAAATATCTGCATGGTTTTATTTCCTAAGGTGCTTCTGGGTTATATGTGATGTAGTTCTTAAATTGGTATGCCTTCTAAAAAAAAAATCACTTTTTCAGATGGCAAATCAGTTTTTAACTAAAAAGGGTTAAAAATATGGCCTATGTAAAAATGATACTGTACTCCTGAGACATTTAAACATAGGAAGCAGTTGCAGTTCTTATTTCCAGGAATGCTGCTGTTTGCAGTTCAGGGGGTTCGGCCACAGAGCTTTTCGATTCCAGCTGATCTTGCAGCTGTATATACAGGAGTGTGTGTTTATCATCTTGGAATATTAGCACTAACCTTTCCTCCTAGGTGTGTGAACCAAGATGTGGGAGTCAGTAATTATGGGGAATTAGAGTTGAAAATTGGACCTGTTTATACATAATCATTAACAGATCTTCAGGCCTCACCCTAAGGTTAATACATTTCAGGCTGTGTTTAAGTACATTGCCTTGTAATAACTTTACTACCTCTGATAGGAATCCTTGTCAAGTCTCTAAAACAGCAAAAGTAACTCACTTTAACTCCTCTCTTTACCATGCCATTTGTCTTGTTTCTTTCGACTGAAAGCAGGTCTTCGCTGGTGTCTGGCACCGGGGGTGAGGGTGTGCAGAATCTCCTTGCTGAAAGGATTAGCTACAAGCCGCAGTGCACATTCCTTTCAGTCAGGTTCCTGCACACTCCATCCTTGTGTACACAGCCTCGGCGGCTGTTTGAGTTGGCTGGGCCTCCGTGCCCTACGTACTAGCACCTGCTCTCCAGGAGGATGCTGGGTCACTCACATTGCGACGTGGAGACTTGAATGGCTCAGAATGAAGGGCTGGCTGTGACCAGCAGAGAGCAAAGTGATAGCTCTGTGTATCAGAGGGGTAGCCGTGTTCGTCTGTATCCACAAAAACAACGAGGAGTCCAATGGCACCTTAAAGACTAACAGATTTATTTGTGGATGTCTGCGCTTGTTGTGAAGTTTGGAGTTGTCCTGTTAGCAGTAAGGCCATAGGGAGCAAAGCCCGCAATATGCTTCCTTGGGTAACTTGCTCATACAGTTTACGAACAATGAGGCTACTTCTGATAGTAGCTCCAGGGTAGGGATTCACAGCCCAATCCTCTGAAGGCCGTCAGAGCGTCATGCAAGATCAGGTCCTAAATCTTTTAGCCTCTAGTTTACACACAATCCATCTTTCTCTTTCAGAAGCTTGCCACAGCTCATCACCTCCTCACATAGCCTGAGTTTCGGAGACCACGCTCCTGAGGCCGGTGGGAACGACATGCTACAGCAAGCCATATATTGTATGTACCTGCTAAGGCCCTTTCTGTCAGCATTACGCTATAAACTCTAGTATCTGCAGAGGTAAAATCTCCACCCTTCTGCATCACATGAGACTAAAGAATGGAATGCAGGTCCTTTCAACTGCATGTAGTGAAAGGCCCAATTATGGAGGATTATAATACAACATAGTTGAGGTAACTGTTGCATCTTAAGTTTTGAGCAAGTTTATGTAATGCTTCCGTGGTCTCCTAGCCTGAGCCATGGGTGTGGGCCCCGCTCTCCCTCAAACACCTGAAGGATTCCAACCCCTGCCGCTCTGGCTCTGTTGAGGGGAGAGATTTTGTTGGGCTTGCAGCCAAAGGTTTTAGGGGGTTAATACAAATGAGTCTGTCTTACAATGAGGAGAAATGTAAAGCTTCAGACTAAAATATTTAAACATGAAGCTACTGTGGGGAATGATGTTGTTGATCATTTTTAACTAACTTTGTTAGTAATTAACAGGTTGTTCATAGCCCAGTAGGAGTTAATATTTCCCTCTGGAGTTTTAACTGCTGTTCAAATAAACAGGAGTAAAATTGGAAGATGTTAGAAGATGGTTATAATAAATTCAGTGGCTCTAAGTCTAAAGAGACAGCCTAGACCAGAGTGCTGGAAACTCCTGGGTTCCAGTGCTGGCTATCTTGCTGACTCACTTCAGGAACTTGGGCCAGCTACTTTGACCCATATTTTCAGGGGCTTGTGATTTTTTGGGTCCCCAACTTGACACCTTGGCTTTGAATTTTTTCAGAAGTGGCGAGTATCCCACATCTCCAGCTGATGTCAGTGGTTGGGCAGCAGCGCTGCACGAGCATTCTGTGGTAGACAGAAAAGTGAAATTAACCAATGCAGTTAAAATCTCAGCGAGCATAGGTTTTAGTTATAGCGAAGTATTCTGCACTGAAATCCGCACGTGAAGAGCCGAGAACTCAGCACCAGAACATCTGCACTCCAGGCCCGACAGAGATGCAGCGTGCAAAGCATGCTGTCTCCAGGCAGCAGACTTGCCTTTGTGTCTAATTGGTAATGTTTCTCTGTGAGCCTTTAATTTGGTTTTGATTTGGTTTTGCTCATTGAGTTGACTGGTGTCCTTGTTTTGCTGCGTTCAGAAGCGCCCCACTGATCAGTGACAAACGGGGCTCTTCTGTGTGTATTGTCTGGCTGTTTTCAGCGGTAGCCCAGCATTGTGCTTTTGGCTCACAATGTGGGAATTGTGAAGGAACGCCGTTCCTGACCATCCTGGCACAGCACAGCGCTGCCCAGGATGGCCCTTGTTTCCAGGCTTGGGAGTCAGACCTGCACGGAACGTGTTCACTGACCTTTCACAACGGGTAGAAAAGTAGGTGTTTTGAATTGTAGCTGACAGGAGCCAGCCACGTTACTACGGGCATCTGCCTTGTTTCAGTTTTGTCCTTATTCATAGATTCTAGGGCTGGAAGGGACCTCGAGGGGTCATCGAGTCCAGTCCCCTGCCCTCATGGCAGGACCAAATACTGTCTAGACCATCCCTGATAGACATTTATCTAACCTACTCTTAAATATCTCCAGAGATGGAGATTCCACAACCTCCCTAGGCAATTTATTCCAGTGTTTAACCACCCTGACAGTTAGGAACTTTTTCCTAATGTCCAACCTAGACCTCCCTTGCTGCAGTTTAAGCCCATTGCTTCTTGTTCTATCCTTAGAGACTAAGGTGAACAAGTTTTCTCCCTCCTCCTTATTGACACCCTTTTAGATACCTGAAAACTGCTATCATGTCCCCTCTCAGTCTTCTCTTTTCCAAACTAAACAAACCCAATTCTTTCAGCCTTGCTTCATAGGTCATGTTCTCAAGACCTTTAATCATTCTTGTTGCTCTTCTCTGGACCCTTTCCAATTTCTCCACATCTTTCTTGAAATGCGGTGCCCAGAACTGGACACAATACTCCAGCTGAGGCCTAACCAGAGCAGAGTAGAGCGGAAGAATGACTTCTCGTGTCTTGCTCACAACACACCTGTTAATACATCCCAGAATCACGTTTGCTTTTTTTGCAACAGCATCACACTGTTGACTCATATTTAGCTTGTGGTCCACTATAACCCCTAGATCCCTTTCTGCCGTACTCCTTCCTAGACAGTCTCTTCCCATTCTGTATGTGTGAAACTGATTGTTCCTTTCTGAGTGGAGCACTTTGCATTTGTCTTTGTTAAACTTCATCCTGTTTAACTCAGACCATTTCTCCAATTTGTCCAGATCATTTTGAATTATGACCCTGTCCTCCAAAGCAGTTGCAATCCCTCCCAGTTTGGTATCATCTGCAAACTTAATAAGCGTACTTTCTATGCCAATATCTAAGTCGTTAATGAAGATATTGAACAGAGCCGGTCCCAAGACAGACCCCTGTGGAATCCCGCTTGTTATACCTTTCCAGCAGGATTGGGAACCATTAATAACAACTCTCTGAGTACGGTTATCCAGCCAGTTATGCACCCACCTTATAGCAGCCCCATCTAAGTTGTATTTGCCTAGTTTATCGATAAGAATATCATGCGAAACCGTATCAAACGCCTTACTAAAGTCTAGGTATACCACATCCACAGCTTCTCCCTTATCCACAAGACTCGTTATCCTATCAAAGAAAGCTATCAGATTGGTTTGACACGATTTGTTCTTTATAAATCCATGCTGGCTATTCCCTATCACCTTACCACCTTCCAAGTGCTTGCAGATGATTTCCTTAATTACTTGCTCCATTATCTTCCATGGCACAGAAGTTAAACTAACTGGTCTGTAGTTTCCTGGGTTGTTTTTATTTCCTTTTTTATAGATGGGCACTATATTTGCCCTTTTCCAGTCTTCTGGAATCTCGCCCGTCTCCCATGATTTTCCAAAGATAATAGCTAGAGGCTCAGATACCTCCTCTATTAGCTCCTTGAGTATTCTAGGATGCATTTCATCAGGCCCTGGTGACTTGCAGGCATCTAACTTTTCTAAGTGATTTTTAACTTTGTTCTTTTTTTATTTTATCTTCTAAACCTACCCCCTGCCCATTAGCATTCACTATGTTAGGCATTCCTTCAGACTTCTTGGTGAAGACCGAAACAAAGAAGTCATTAAGCATCTCTGCCATTTCCAAGTTTCCTGTTACTGTTTCTCCCTCTTCACTAAGCAGTGGGCCTACCCTGTCTTTGGTCTTCCTCTTGCTTCTAATGTATTGATAAAAAGTCGTCTTGTTTCCCTTTATTCCCGTAGCTAGTTTGAGCTCATTTTGTGCCTTTGCCTTTCTAATCTTGCCCCTGCATTCCTGTGTTGTTTGCCTATCTTCATCCTTTGTAATCTGTCCTAGTTTCCATTTTTTATATGACTCCTTTTTATTTTGTAGATCATGCAAGATCTCGTGGTTAAGCCAAGGTGGTCTTTTGCCACATTTTCTATCTTTCCTACCCAGCGGAATAGCTTGCTTTTGGGCCCTTAATAGTGTCCCTTTGAAAAACTGCCAACTTGTTGTAAGTTGCTTTCTTTACTTTTGTGTTAAGCTGCATACAGTTGAGCAAAGGGGTTACTGCTTACATTTCAAATGTGTTCATTTTCCAGCTCTTCCGGTTTAAGCCAAACTCTGCCTCCTCCCTTTCCCTGGGAGGACTTCGTCTAGTGGCGAATGACCTGTACTGTTTGGGCTGCACTCTCTAGACACAGTGGGCTACATTTCAGGTCCAGCTCTGAATTTCTGGCTCAGTTGTACTCCCGGCTGTTGTGGGCTGTTTGTGTGTGAATTTTGTAGTGCAGGTGTGGCTAGTGGAAAGCCAGTTGAATGGAGCATTACTGAGCGGGACCAAGTCTTTCCTCTCAATGCCCTTTTTTTAGTGAGTCAACATGTATTATTTATATTACAGTAGCACTGGGGGGGCCCCCCAGGTCGGAGCCCCATTATGCTAGGTGCTGAACAGACACGCGGTGAGAGACCGTGCCTGCTTGAAGAGCGCACAATCTAAACAGACAAGACAGACGAAGGGTTACTGTCCCCATTTCGCAGAGGGGCGGCGAGCACAGAGAGAGTCAGTGACTTTCCCAAAGGGAAAGAGAACATGAAGTCATAGTGTTGGACTGTGTTAGTGTTCTCTGTGAAATCAGGAGACGTGTATAGCAGAAAGCAGGCGGTTTTGTCGGGTTAATCAAAGGACATTCTCTTTCCCCCCTAACCTTAGTCTAACCACAATTTAATATTTGTATTACAGTAACATCCAGAGGCTACAGCTGGGAGCAGGGCCCCATTGTGCTAGGCCTTGTATGTACACAGAGTCTGCAGATGCTGAGGGTTGGAAGGATTTGCCTGCCAATTTCTCCCCAGTTTTACAGGGTTTAATGGCTGGTCCCTGGTAGTTCTGAGAGAGCCGAGTGACCAGCACCCGGAGTCGGATATCGGCTCCCATTTCGCTGCACTCGCCTCATCTTCCCTTTTCCTTAGCACGGTTTTAATCCAGCATTATCGCTATAATTTCCTGGACCGGGCAGTTAATCCACAGACTTCGGCAGCTGTGTAAGGAGCTCTGCCTCTCCCGACGAAAGGAAACTGCTCTTTCCATCTCTTGCCTTGACTGTTTAAAAAACCATTTTGGCAAGGGTTTCTCGTCCATGTGAACGGGAGCAGGGAGATGCAGCAGCTGCTCTTCTGACTCAGACGCCAAAGCCACAGCGGGTTTGGCTTGGTCTTTTAGGTAGATAGGCTGGTCTGGAGACAAACGAATGGCTCCGAGACTCTAAAATGGAGGAGGGAGAGAAACTGTTACGAACCTCCCGGTAACATGCCCTGCAACAAACCAAGCCGCTTAATCAGCGGCATGTTGCCTGGGTGCTGAGGGGATTTTACAGATTTGCTCCCAGGATGCTTTGTGTGCAGGTAAAAGTATTACAGAATAGTAGCCCTGCTCCCCTGTCCAGTGGCACAGCACTTCGGAGAGTTCATTGCCAGGGCTGTCCCTGTCGTATCCCCCAGCCGCCGCCTCC